TGTAACCCTAATCCCAACAATGACAACCATAACCCCAATACAGCTCTAACTTTAACCATAAGTAACCAAATAAAATACAAGACTTTTGGCATTTTTAGTTCTTGCTTGCAGTCACAGATTTTTATAAAATTGAGTTTCCCCTTGTGGGGACTGAAAAGGTGGTCCCCAAATTAACTTCAATAATTTTAATGTAATGTAATGTATGCCTTGAGTGCACACACACACACACACACACACACACACACGCACACACACACACACACACACACACACAGAGCACCCTCTCATCCTCTGCCCCATTCCCAGAAACTGCTCAAAATATAAAAAACAAAAATGTTACTGTTTCACCAAAATGCTTGAAAGCACCTAAAATAAAACTTTAAAACACGGAGATGCTGGGTGATCAAATCTGCTATGAATTACACAGCGGGGTAGAGGTATGTCAGGAGAAAGCGTTCCTTTTACGACCCCCCCGCCCAACACCCCCAACACCCCCATCATAACGTGCCACAGTGAAGAGCCCCTATCGCCTTGTTGCAGAGGCAGGAAGTACAGAAATCACACAAGCATGTTGTCCTACTTTTATCTGGGCAGGAACAGTCTGTTTCTGTCACCTGCTTTTCAGTCTGTAGATCGCATTAGTTTAAACACAATTCAAGGAGCCTCATATTGAATTTAAACACATCTGGACAGGAAAACTGAAAAAAAAAATCATTTTTAAGTGCATTAAATGAAGCAGAACTTTGTTGAAGCTGTTCCATCAGGGCAAACTTACTTCTTACACATGGCAACCATGTGACACAGCCTCTTCCAAACAGCCCTGCCTTTAGAGAGTCACATAGTAGCTGCAGAGCTCACATCAGCCCAGTAGGTGGCGCTCACCTCGCATGGCTCCCTGCTGGTTTCAGTAGCTAATCTCTACTGAGGTCCCAAGGTATGTAGACCCCTGCTCATCATAGAGCTCTGGTTCCTATTGAACAATGAGGTAATGATATAACCAAAAAGCCCCATTGTCAGTATAGTGACCCCCCTCCACCGATACTGAAACTGCACCTGCACGACAAAAAAGGCAATGCTAATTTAGCAGTGAGGGTGCTGATGTGAAACCTTCCCGTGTGAAAGGAGTGTGGTCGGGCACAGCTAGCGTTACCACAGAATACACTTTTGGTGCGCGAGCTTAACCATATATGGCTGAAAAACAGAGTCTGATATGTCATACACTGTAATACTATCTAGTGTAGTCAGAGAGCTTGAAAATGCTGTGAACAAGGACGGGTAGGAAATGTCTTTGAAAGGAGTCATTCACCTACAGTTACCATGATGCCAGCAGTGGTTGAGAAGCTCCCCAGGGCCCTGGTGGATTCCAGAGGAACATCTGGAGAACACACTGTACCAGACATGAGTGCTGGTCCAGGACATAGTCTCCGTCCCGCAACCACTGAGACTATTTGGGAATATTTTTTGCTGATAATACTTCCCTGCACTTCATGCCTCTAATCCAAACTCATCGGTGGCAGTTTCCTGTCAGAACTAAGTTGTCCAAGGAAGATGAACTAGACGGAAGAGCAGAGAGCAAAGCGAGACTGACGTAATGCTTCCAGAGCCCTTACATGTGTAAGCGTGCGTGTGCTAGGACTTCATCTCTCACCTTGCCGCAGCATGTTGTTTTGCCGCCCGTCTGATCTGATCACTTTCCACAGCCATGGGACGGCTTTTCACGTGCATGCTGGGTTTTAGACCTTACGACTCTGTCATAACTCATCAAACCCATCACACAGCTCTTCCCAGGCCTTTTAGTGTTTACTAGACCAAGGGGCCCTTGTGGAAAACTGTACTATGCTTTTAAGAGGTTTCACAGGTCAAACCGCGATCTTCTGGGACTGGCATACAGGCGTTGAAACTACTCTTGGTTAAAGAAAAGGGAGTTTAGTGGTATTCTTACTTATACTCTATATACCACAAAGGGAACGGTGTTTACTGCAGGGGCTGGACTTGATGATGTGAGGCAGGGTGTCGGGTGCATGTACCTGGATAGTGGCATATACCTCACCTCACACCAGCTTGAGAACTGGACTACAGACACTTAGACAAAATGAAGAGGAGCCACTTTTTGGCCTAAAAACTGAGATGAGGTGGCTGAATTAATTAGTACAAAAGAAAATTTGTTCATGGTACATGTCAAATATCAGAATGTTTAAGTTAAACCAGGCTCACCCATCATAAGAACAACACGGCCATCCTCACAATTTCCGAAGCACTTTGGAGACTATTGTTTCCCCTCAATAACATAAATCCAGATGCTGAAGCCAGTCTAAGCCCTTTGGAAGTAAACGCTCACTGCCATTTCTCAGTTTGCATGCATTTTACCTTGAGTCCTGGTGTTGGTGACGCGCTGCCTTTGTCTGTGTTTTGTGGTGGTTGGAGAGGAACACTGGCCCTGCTGAGGGGCTGTCACCAACAGCCACATGTATGGCAGTGACTGATACAGTATGTGTGAGGAACGCTAGCGTTGGGAAATAGTTGACTTGCATTTCTAAAGTCATCCATTCTCATTTCAGTCTTGATGGTTCAGCTCCATCCAAAAGACCTTGTGAGAATTCGCACAAGTTTCATAATAATCACCGACGAATAATTCATATATGTTTTTAGACCTTCCATAAAGTTTAGGTCTGTGCGTACCTTCTGCAGGACAGAGGAAACGCATTCCCGTGACCATGAGTCATACAGGAGTGTGTCATTCTTAAAAATCCAGCTGACTGTACGTAAAGGCGCTTGGCTACGATGCTGCAGAATCCGATCCCGGCTTCCTGCTCTCGAAGGGTCTGAGTAACACAGGATGACAAAAGGCAACGATATCTGCATGTTATTAAATGAGAACATAATACGCAGAAATTATTCAACACCTGACAAGCAACATTTATAATTTGGAAACCCGAGAGAGTTTCAGTAGAAAGGGATCTTTGTGTTACAGGAGGCTTTGCTGTCATTCAGCTGGAATATTGACAAGACCAAGATCTGAGGGACATTCCGAGTCCTTCGCCACAACTGGCATGTTTACAGCTCATACAAAGTCACATGACGCGATGTCTCATGCACATCGCCGTCTCTTCTGCCACCACATCTCTGCAGCTTAATTTCCGTTGCAAACTGCCTCGACAAACAAGCTAGGTCACAAATAATCAGAAACTTAACTTAGAAAAAAAAATCAGTTAAATGACAAAAAACACCAGGTTCGCTGGGGATCTGTGTAGCAGCGCTGTGGTTTACCTGGGACCCAAGTCTCTTCCCTCATATTTCAAGCTCTAGGAAGGTTAGAATTATAGGGCCTCTGTGGCCCGGGGGAGTGGGATCCGTCCCTGTGAATGCCCAGAGTGATTCTACTCTGCTGGGCCCTTGAGCAAGGCCCATAACCTGCAATTACTTCATCCTGGGTATGACGTTAATCTACATCCAGCCCTATAAAGTGCTCCTCCAACTTACAGGGAAAGACTTGGGGGTTGGTGGCAGGATTGGCACTCCAGCAACTGGAAAAAAAACTCACACTGGTCCAGCGGTCGGTGCCCAGCGGTCGGTGCCCGGCTCTCCGGCCGCACAGACTATCTGTGACTCGCTTCCACATGACAGGAATCCTGCCTCCCACACTACTGGGACAAACAAAAGGCCACTATATACCTTCATTTCGTTCCCACCTTCCTTGAGGGAACACAAACGTGCTACCAGCAGGCAAATGTTCACGCTCAGTGATAAGGACGTGTTTCCAAGGCTACGGCTGGGACCTTCTGAGCTCCAAATGGAGCATGTCACCAATACATCTCCACCAGCTGCTTTGATGTGGGGGATCGACAGGCGCCGTGACTCCGAGGAACATGACGGGATGGGCCGTGGAGGCGTTTCACATCGTGCACCGCACTGTTCACTCATGCTCCAAGGAGTTCAAATAAAACGTGCTGCAACCGGCCTCTCTGTTCCGTGTGTGCGCCAGAATGACGGATCGCATTTCCAGCAAATCATGAAGGCTGCAGTATGTGTAAATCATTCTGCACCCCCTCCTCCTCTCTCACACACAAAGGCATTGTCTTCAGAAACACATTATCCCTGAATATGTTTCACAGTTGATGGTTTATCCTTGAATATTTCTTTAGTAAATATTTTAATGTGGGGATTTCTGCAACTTTAGAAGTTTGAAAGCTTCACTCACTGGATTTCTCCAAGCTACCTCACATTACTATTCAACCAAACAAAAAGGGCAATAGGATGTTAGGTTCAGGTGTGTGGAGTTTAAGTCAAGAGAGGTGATGCTAAGATTATACAATTCCTTGGTAAGACCCCATCTAGAATATTGTGTGCAGGTTTGGTCACCATACTTTAAGAAGGACATTTCTACCTTGGAAAGGGTGCAACGTAGGGCTACGAGAATGATTCCTGGTCATAGAGGAATGTCTTATGAGGAGAGGTTAGCTGAGCTGAATCTGTTTAGCCTTGAGCAAAGGAGACTAAGGGGGGACATGATCCAGGTGTATAAGATTCTAACAGGTCTAGATGCTGTTCAGCCAAATGGCTACTTCAATATTAGTTTAAGCACTAGAACTCGTGGCCATAAGTGGAAATTTAGTGGAAATTAAGTGGAACATTTTAAAATTAATTTGAGGAAGCACTTCTTTACACAGCGTGTAGTTAGAGTATGGAATAGTCTTCCTGTTAGTGTAGCCGCTGTAGCGCAAGTTAAACCTTGAGTTCCTTTAAATCAGAGCTAGATAAGATTTTAGAGCTATTAGTTGAGTTCTTCCCAAACGAGCTTGATGGGCCAAATGGCCTCCTCTCGTTTGTAAATTTCTTATGTTCTTAACTTCTTTGGTATATGATGTTTTTTTGAAAGTCATATTGAGATTATCCAACACCAGTGGCAGACAGAGGCATTGTTCTGCGATGCCATCTTGTGGCTGATGCTGGCATTACACCCTGACTGTTGATATAGACGTAACACTTGTTGGAACGTCCAAAGCGACGTACGTGCTGTCAAGTAGTCGACTTGAGCTGAGCTGAGCTGAGCTTCCGATGTAAACCCAGGTACTAATGTAAGCACTAAGGTCATTTAAGGCCCTGAGTCTAGGGTTGCCACTTTCAATGCGAAGAACGACGGGACGATCTTGTAATACACTGGACGGGTAGCAACTCGAGGTCTTTGGTAGGAGGTGACGCCACCGTGAACAAACAAGCTAGTGAAAGCCGGTCCTTGGCTGGAAGCAGCTTGATAAGACTGAAGGTCACCTTTGGAGCCCTTTTGAGTACAAAACATCGGCACAGTCAGTCAGGTGCCCTGTCGCGGCACACCGAGATCCAGGGATTTCTACAAAGCCGCAGGTAAACATGTCCATGATCCTTCCTGGAGTTCCATAGAAGTCGTCTCCAGTAGGGGTTTCACGGGAATCTGCTTCACGGCGATTCTTCTCACCTCTTCCTCGTTCCACCAGTTGATCGTTACCTGTGACCCTCAGCACGGAAAGCCGAGGGACACAATGGCACGCCGGCCAAGCTTAGCATCCCTGGAGGAACAGCTACGGTGCCCGGTTTGCCTGGAGTTGTTCACGGAGCCTCTGATGCTGCAGTGCGGTCATTCCTACTGTCGGGGCTGCGTCCGGTCCATGACGGCTGACCAGTTCGGGCAGCTACAGTGTCCCGTGTGCCGCAGCGATGTCGATGCCGACAGCCCCCCACTTAACGTCAGCCTAGCTCGCATTGTGGAACACCTGCAGGAGGCGAGCGGGGCGGCAGCCGCTGCGGCAGAGGGGGGAGCAGAACCAGAAACGTGTGTGGAGCACCACAACCCGCTCAGTCTATACTGCGAGGAAGACCGTACGGTCATCTGTGGTCTGTGCGGCAGCATCGGCGTGCACCGCACACACAAGATCACCCCAATCGGCAGCGTCTACAGCCACATGAAGGTAGCCCGACCCGCACATTCTCCCCCAAGGGTAAAAAAAAGTGCGTGAACCTCATACCCAAGGCACAGGGGTGCAGTTCAGCAATAAGCTACCAACGTCCTGCTGATAAAGGGCGATAAACCTTTTAAGTGGCGACAACGGAACAAAGTGGCTTCTCACATGATAGATTACATCATGGTCCAGCCTGAAACTGCTAATACTGATATTGCGACATTGAACGAGCCCGGTGTGGCGTTTCCGCTGCACTCTGTACGGGTACCCGCATTGATTCTAACCCTTATGCGCGCCACTTTTTAGGAGGACATTTCTTCTCTGATGACGCAGCTGCAAACACAGAGGAAAAAACTGGAGGAGCAGATTTGCAAAATGGTTAACAACAAGTCACGCATCACTGTGAGTTATGCTGGTTTGTATGGCAAATATCACATGGGATTCCCATTTCTGGCCGTGATGTGTACCGTTTTGAAGGGATTTAGAATAACGAACAAAGTATCTCTATCCGTTGGAAAACCTAAATTAATTGCTAATTGAACTAATAGTCAGAGTTTGCAGGCTGTGATCTGCCTGTACTGTATAGTATTTCTGAAAAACCGTGCTGTTCAAATGTATAAAATTACCAGAATTGTGCTGCATTTGGATGAGAGCCATCAAACATCAAACTGTTATGAGAAAGACATTTTTACATGGAAATGTGACATTTTTGAGGGGATTAAAAAAAGCATACATTTTTTTGGAAATTTTTTGCAACTTGAACACTTTACCACCCACCCCTATGCGGACAGAACGAGTCGGATGTCCTGAAGTGGGTGATCCGCAAAGAGTTCGGGGAGCTGCGGCGCCACCTGGAGCAGGAGGAGGCCGGCTTCATGCACAGGGCAGAGAGCACTGCTGCCGCCCTGGTGGCCGGCATCCAGAGGCAGGTGGAAGACATGACGCAGGTGTTAACCAGGTTCCAGAAGGCAGAGGAGATGCTGGAGGGGCTGAGCAACGAGAGCCACTTGGGCTTCATTACGGTTGGTGTCGGGGGTGGGGGGGTCATTCGCATGGAGCAGCCAAGATAAGAGTATTTGGCCGAGTTCTGAGACCTGCACTCTTTTACCACTATAACTAAAAGCTTAACGCTCCAAGACTGCAGGATGTGAGACATCAATCACTGCAAACCTAACCCTAAATTTGCTTCTTTCCATCTCTGTCAGAAATATGGATCCATTGCCCCGAAGTAAGAAACTTCTGTTTTTACAAATATATGTATACACACAGATACCATGTATAATAAAGTTACAATACTCATTACAGGAACACATCGCTAAAGGAGAAAACATTTTATTTTTTTAGATTAACACACAGAAAAACTTAAACATCTGGTCCTGAAGGAAGACAACTCACAGGTCCATGAGCTATTAGCGCTTAGCATGAGTTCACTCCACCCTGCTGTGTCTGACCAGGATCAGGGAGTGCCAGCTGAATGAGTGGAGAGAGGAGCGTGCCTATACCTCAGTCACATTTAAGCCTGGCTTCCACCATGACGACATCAAGATCTCCGTGTGGAAACGGCTGCACAGGAAGGTCCTACCGGGTAAGAGGGCATCTACACCACAGAGCCAGGCGAAGATTCAGTGAGCCGTACAAAGCGTTAGCAGACTGCTAATGACGGCCAAAATAACACCTGATGAACCATACGTCGTATTTTTTTTAACCCTACTAGATGGTGCGCTTGGCTTGCTTTGGGGCATGTTTTAAGCCCTTTTTTGATTAGACAGCACCATCTAGTGGGGACAGAAAATTCATGACGCATTGTTTTGGCCATTATTACAGAGGACTAAAGCGCTGATAGCCTTGGCCTGCTCTTCCCCTCCAGCCCCTGAGAGCCTGAAGCTGGACCCCCTGACGTCCCACCCCATGCTACGGCTCTGCCACGACTACAGGGCCGTGGAGTGCGGCGCCCTGCCTGCACAGATGCCCAACAATCAGGAGCGCTTCAGCTACAGCTACTGCGTGCTGGCCAGCCGTGGCTTCTCCTCGGGGAAGCACTACTGGGAGGTGGGCGTGGGGGCCAAGCCCAAGTGGCGTCTGGGGCTGGTCAAAGGCACCATCTGCCGTAAGGGCAAGTTACCCAAGAGCCCCGAGAGCGGCGTCTGGCTCATCGGCCTGAAGGAGGGCCGCCTGTACGAGGCCTTCGCCAGCCCTCGTGTGGGCCTGCCGCTCAACGCCCAGCCTGCCAAGATTGGGGTCTACCTAGACTACGAGAAAGGTGAGCTGGCCTTCTACAATGCTGACAGCCCCCAGGAGCTGGCCTTCATCTACAAATTCCAGGCAGATCTGCAGGGAAAGGTCTACCCGCTGTTCGACGTATGCTGGCACGAGAGGGGGGTCAACAAGCACCCCCTGACCCTGCTGCAGCCGCAGGCAACCAAATAGCTGAGGAGTTTGGAACTTTCTGGGCTGTTGTCTGAATCACAGTGCGTGACCAGTGTGGCCACTAGATGGCAGAATATCTATTGATAAAATAAGACGTGTGCGTGTATGTGTGGGGGGGGAATATTCGTATCAAATGCTAAAATTAATCCACACAAAAATAAGCACTTATTTACAAATGTTACCAATAGCAAAATACCAGTTTAAGGTATGGCTTTTAATGTTTCAGTTTGTTTACAGACTAAGACATAAGGACACTGTTTTAGACTGTCGAAATTAATAGTAAACAGACTGACTGATTAAAGTTCTTGCAGGACAGTTTTGTCGTGATTTGCATCCCTTTGCTGTTCACATTTTGGTCAGAACCACAATCCAAAGGAAAGGAATTCAGCAGCAGAATGTCCGGAACTTCAGTAAGGACCTCCCACCTTGCCAGAGTTATTGAGTAACATCTCCCAATCCTACCCCGAAATACCTGTGGGTGTCACACCTGAGAAGCAAGACTGTGCAGCAGCTGGCTTAAGAGGAGGTCAGGCAGGGCCTGTGCTGAGAGGCAGTGAACATGACCCGGCATGGTGTCTGTAACGGGGAGTCTCACAGCCCGAGGAAAATGGAACCAATGAGGTCGCAGCACAGGTTCTCATATGGCTATGTGGGCTTACATCACAGCTAAAAGCCAGGCAAACCGGTTGCTGATTTATGACGTTCGCAGGCACTACCAGCAACAGACATTCTTCATTTTGGTAGAAGCTCTACAACAGACCAAAGGCTGAAGCTTAATTTTTTAATATACACAACAGAAGCATTTTCTCATAAGCATCTCGCACCACACCGTGGAAATCTATTTACCCTGTTAATATGATAAAACCAACTGTATATTATCTGCACACACAGCAGGTAAAAACCTGTCCATTTAACAGAAGCTAGAGCAGGTAGCTTTAGTAACATTTTCACGGAGCTCAGCCCTCCCCAAGTGAATCCTATTTATAGTCGTGGAGGACTGCTTGTTAGGGCACAGCACTGACTCATTGCCAGGGTACTGTGCCTTTAACGAGTCACTCTTGTGCCCAGCAGCATGGTGAGCCTGAAACATCACCACACCCCTCCTGCACACAAACATTAATTTTATGTTGCTCTTTGAAGGCTGCTGAACCAGCTGCATGCTGGTCCAGAAACCATCAACATGGCTATTTCCTGTCAACACGTTTTGAATAGCATGGATAAATGGTAAGATGACAAGACACGCTTGGCGGGTTAAGGCTGATTTTCAGAGGGTCGACACCACACATTAACACACCTCACTCTGACGGTGTGCAGGGTTAGTGTCCTCAGCGCAGGAGAACACACACCCATGAGACTAGACTATGGTTCCAACTCAAGCTCTTCTCCGTACTCTTAGTTTAGGAGGCATTTGTGGCTCTTAGACCCCAGCTTGGGTAAAGCAGCAGTGGTCAAACCGAACGTTATGAGCCATCAGACGTCACCCTGCCCTCCCATAAACCTGATGAGTGATGAATGATAATTACCTACAAGGAAACAACCAACCTCAATGAACCCAAACAAAGTCTGATACTATAATCATGTACTAAACCATATAAGGTGCTATTCCCATCAAAGTGGAGCCAAGCCTTTAATTTCTAAGCGACTTACATTTTTAAGGAAGCAGGGTCATACAGTTATATAGAAAGTGAAGGCTTGGCTCATGGGGTTCATCAGAGAAGTTGCACTGCTGTCCCTGGGATTTGAACCAGCGACCTTCCGATCACAGTCACGGAACCCTAACCCACTGAGCCTCACACTACCCCTAGAATCTTATCAAAATAAGTAAACACCATGAGTCATGAGATGGCTACCAGTGGTGCCAGTCTCTAGGGTCAGCTTTAAATGTTCAGACATGAGTGTATGGATCATGTACGTACACAGGTGATGTCGGCATCTGCAGTCAAAGTGCATAGACGCACACACACACGGGTATACACAGAAAGCGTAACCCTTAGTACAAGTCAACCTAAAACCAGCTCACCGATGCTTGCAGACAGAGCTCAATGCTGACTGAAAGGCCAGTGAGTGCAGCCTGTCAGAGGCAGCCACTCTGTACATTCAAGGCAAACCTAGTTGTGTGGAATAGGCCTCTATGGTGTACAGTGAACCCCTAAAATGGCTTCAAATGGCACTGTCAGTGGGACACACCAAGACAGGCATTATCGTTGGAGCATAACACACAGAAAAAATGCCCTTTTCTGAGGCGGTTTCCTTCGCAGGACCAGGCTATCCAACAGTCAGCTGACTATTTCACAAATCACCAGCAGGGGGTGATGCTGAGACCTGGGTCTGAGTTTCCTCCCATCTGGCAGCAGCGCTGTTGTTCTGGTGGCTGCTGGTCAGGAGCCCCTAAAAGGCCACTGTAGCGTTCATGCATCGCTTCTGACCCAGTAAATACAGGAAGACCCTACTCTGCAGTATCACGGAAAGGTAAGGCAGTGCACACAGGCCCTGGGCGTGGAGTTACTGGAACACACCCTCCTCCACCAGTGCTCACTGGAAGACAGGGAGAGGTGGGGCGGCGTGGGCGCAGTAACCAGGAAGACTAGTTGGTGATTCGTTGAATTTCCTGGCCCCGCCGGCTGGTCAGGACCGGAAGACGTGCACGGCGCGCACCACATACTGCCGGCAGATGGGGCACTCGCTCATGCGCTTGCCACACTTGGTGCAGGTGACCATGTGACCGCATTCCAGCAGCACACAGTCGATGGGGGAGTCCATGCAGATCTTACACAGGTTCTCCTCCTGGCTTGGGGTGCCACTGGGGTCTGCTGGGGTGAGGGGGGGGGGGGGGGGTTAGGGAGGTCCACAAGGGAGCACTACTGCAGCCAAAGCGGAACTACTCACCTGTGTCATTTCCCACTTGTGAAACTGTAAAAGGAAAAAAAGGGCAGCCTTAGGCAGTGTCGCACAGGCAAAGGACGCCCACCAGAGGGCCACAGAGACGGGCCTCTCACCCAGGTTCTGAAGGTCCTGCTGCTCCCGGTACAGCCGCCTAACCCTCTCCATCAACTCCCACTTCTCACAGCAGCCCTTATAGTCCACGAAGTTTCGGGCCAGGATCTCCTTCAGCTGCCGCACGCTGAGAGCCTCGATATCCTCGGGCCCGCTGAGGTCCGACAGCGAGGCGCGCCGTCCGGGGACACCAGCATCCTCTGAATCTAAAGACTAGGAGTCAGTTTGTTAGTTAGTTATGTTGACTCTTAATGCCATGGGTGATATTTGTGGCGAGAGTATATGGCCATTCAAACAGACGGAATAAACCAAAGGGTAAAAACTTCATAACTATAAAATGTCACAGACCCAGTAAAACAGTCTAAGTAAGATGCTAAAGATTAGCATTCAATAAAAAATAAACTTTAAAAAGCATCTGGCTTGACTTGACTTAATACCTCTTTTAAAGAGTCAGTAAAATGGTAACTCCACCTAAGGCAGGTAAAAGTACAATACAGTAAAACTGGTTTAACAGTTAAAGGAGTGTGATACGTAGGACATGCAAGTGGATGATCACCTAAGTAAAGTCTTGCTAGTAAGCCCAGTTTGCCCCATACAACACTGTGTACAGATGATCTGGTCCCAGCAATTCCTAAAATTAACTTTCAAGTAATGGACTTATTTCGTAAAGCTTGTAATTAACATTCATCCCATTCGGCTTACCATATTTTCATTATATGAGAAAAGAAAAGAGGTTTGAGTTCTGAAGGTGGTATTAAACTTAGTTGTGTATCGGAGCTCAGGGTTTTCTTGGCAGAGATATCTGATTGCTCATTCCCAGGCACAACGCAATGACCTGGCACCCCAATGAAAATGTATACAGTATTTCTCTGTATCCAGGACTGTAACCTTACTTCATTTTTTTTTTTTTTTTTACAAATCACAGGATGATCCATCTTTAGACCCAGTAGCGTTAAATAAATCCTCTCTCTGTGGACTCGCCGGCTCCATTTTGCTTCTCCTGAGGCCTGTACTCTCGCTCATGGGTTCCAGCAGTCAAATGCAAGACTGACGTTTCGAAAACACAAGTAGGTTTAAAGCAGGGGCGTCAAACTGCAGTCCTGGAGGGCCGCAGGCCTGTGCAGCTTAGTTCTTTCCCTGTTCCACCACAAATGATTCAGCTCAAGAGCTGTGTGGTGATTAGCACAAGGAGTTGAATCAGGTGTGTTAAACGAGGGGAAACCCAAAAATGTGCAGGGCTCCGGCCCCCCAGGACTGGAGTCTGACACCTGCGGTTTAAAGCAATCAGCTGCCCCGCAGCAGCAGGGTCATGAGACAAGAGCACTTCTCTCTTCCAAGAAGCCACAAAGCCACCACACCAGTTCCACTGGCAGAGTGATCACATGACCCCCGAAGAGTAACCTCATGAGAGATAAGAGCAGCATTCAGGTGACTAATGGCGCGGGGACCGCACGTGAGCGGTGAGCACCTGTTACTGGGTGCGACACAGAACCCAGATGGAGTGATTCAGCACAGACGGAGACGTACGCAAACATGCCTGCACTTACTCAAATTCCCCAGGTCGTTATGGAATACCTGGCATTGCAAACAGTGTTCCTCTGAAGGCCCTCAAGTGTATCGGAACACCTCATTGAAATGGCCTTTTCACAGGCGTGAAACTCACTGGCTGCCGTTACATGAATGTGAGGTAGGTTTGGCCTGATGCCACATCCTGTTTTACAGGAAGCTCCAACCAGCAGATTCCAGTTTCACTCTGAATAAGATCATACAGTTGCCCCTCCCCCAAGCATCAGGTTAGTAAACACGCCTGTCAGCCACAGGCATCGATGAAGGCGCAAACCCTGGCGGTCACGCGGCAGAGGTCTGCGTCGGTCTTATCCACCACACCTTAGCAGTCTGTCTGTCAGGCCTGTATACCCACCCCTGCTCTTTGTATCACTGACGAGAGCCTCCTCTCGTTACTGAATGACCATAAGCCAGGAGGTAGAGCCACACTCCCCAAGCAGAACACAAGACTCTCGTTCGCTCTGGATCGTAGAAGAATCCTGTTGACCGAAGGTAACCATCGCAGATAGACTCTGCCAAAATTTCAAGACCAAGTTCAGCTGAAAAGCCACGCCCAGGTCCCCGAGACAGAGAGAGACCACCTACTCCCCGTGGCAGACACTGTCTGAAGACTCCAGAACCCACAAGCCTCACCTGGTTATCCTCCTGAGTCAGCGGCTCCAGGTCCATCTCTGTGGGGACATCTGAGGCTGGCGGCAGCAAGACCGGCGATGCAGGGGGGGGCACTGGGTCAGGTGCGGAGGGTGGGGCCGCAGTGGTCCCTGGCAGCGGAACATCCGGAGTGCTGGCAGGCGACCGATGACCCAAGACAAGGTCCACCAGCTCCTCCTTCTCACGGCACGTCTGGGTAGGGATGCCATGCAGGTGCAGGTAGTCACGCAGATCCTTCACCTTGAACTTCATGAGCTCGGCACGGTCCGGCAGGGCGCCATGGAAGCGCAGGCATGTGTGGCACAGCCTGGGGCCCTGTTCTGACTGCACGCAACAGCCGTCGCAGAAACTCTGCCGGCAGTCCACGCAGATGTGCTGCAAAGGGGAGGTCCAGTGTCACGGAACATGAAGGCCATGTCAACAGCAGGAACATCACACACATGCCCGTAACTGCTACAGATTAGCTACTCTTAGAGGTCAGACAATTGGGAGGGGGGGGGGGGGGGGTTTTCTCCCGATTAACCCATGAGACCCCCTGAAAGCCTCAAAAGCACGGAACATGAAGGCCATGTCAACAGCAGGAACATCACACACATGCCCGTAACTGCTACAGATTAGCTACTCTTAGAGGTCAGACAATTGGGGGGGGGGGGGGGGGGGGCGAGAGACCTTAATCTATGCAAAACTGCAGACTTAACCATCATCACTCATCCTCTGACATAAAAAGGGTCTACCTCATAAGATGTGTTCTAATACATTCCTGGGGGTTGACACATGGGGGAGGGGGTCAGGAAAGCCACTGGGGGCAAGGTCACTGGTGGATTATGAGTCAGCTTATACAGACCAGGAGAAAGCCACACATGTCAAGTCCAGGGTATCACCAAGACAACCAAATGGTTAACCGTTTACAAGAGTTTCAAATTCCAGTATTAATTACCTTTATAAATGCCTTTTTCTGCCACCCACCCCCAAAGCATAAACGCTGACATAATGTGACACCTATTCAGCCAAAGAAGTCATCAGGCTGTCTCAGGAGACTGGCACCTTGGGCAGTCATTACCTTCCTGGTTAAGGTGCTGAAGCGCCCTCTGCAGGCCTTGCAGATGTGGTCAGAGGCCGATGGTGAGGGATAGCCAGTGTAGCTGGAGTTGGCGTAGGCCTCTGGTCGGGCGCTACCTCTGTCTTCCACTGTGGTGGAGTCCAGGCAGAACCAGTTACAGCAGGAGGACCACATGCTCCCACCTGTTGACACAGAATGGATGGCTCACTGCACGGGGATAGGAGAGGGCGAGAACACAAGAAAAGGACTTGCAAGAAGGTGCAAATGAGACTAATATGTAACGCATTATCAAACATCACAACAAACTACACATATGGCAGGACCCTGAAATAGGAATCATGCTTTTTGCTCCAGATGCAGGTTTTACCAGTAAACGTGCAAAAAAAATACAAGCACTTTAGCCTAGATTCTCCCGCAGCTCACTAGTACAAGGGCAACTACAGGCAAGAGTCCACTATGGAGATCTTCTGCATTCTGTCCACTGGATCTTGGCTGCAGATATAGAGCTCACATCATTAATTTAGAGCTGCCACACAGGTCGATCCTCCAAGGCCGGGCCGGGCCAGGCTGGGCGGTTGGTCTCAGAGATATCTCATCTCTCCATATGCAGAAGCAAGACATCTCAATTAACCAAACTGTTTATGGTATCTTGAACTTTCTGAACGTTAGATTTGAACAAGCAATGACAGAGGCAAGGTGAAAAATACTTTAAAAAAAAAAAAAGAAACATCTTTTGAATTACGTAAAAAAAGAAACAGGAGAAGTGAGGAAACAGGAAATTCCTCAAGTAATGTTTTGACTTGGACATTTCACCATCAGGGACAAATCATACTCATGGTCTTTTCACTTTCCAATTTCTGGACAGGTGAACTGCTACATTTCAAACATTTTCAGAAGTTTAAAACCCTCTGAAGTGCCCCAATTTAAAGATTTCTGGTTCACGTCATACAATAAGAGTCTTCTTATTGTATGTCATCTTGCCTTAAATTATGCTGGACAATTCAGCCAAGCAAAAACAAAAATAGACGCATTTACGTTGACTGTAAAGGTTGAGTGAAAAGCCAGCCAGACACACCCAGGGAACAGTGTTATGTCAGATTGTTTACATTCCTGTTGTGAGGTATGGCTCTAGTACCACATGCTCATGCTAATTTCACAAGCACTAGTGATGAGTGGGAAATACCTCAGAAGTCTCAACATGACCTGACACTGAACAAATTAAGCCATTAAAACGAATAATGATTTTGAAACAGGAGTGTGGCTATTGGTGAGGCAAAGCCCACTTTGAATTTACAGAATGAGATTTCCCCACTTCATAAAAAGGAGTAATTGACTCCGTATAGCATAAGGCCTCAGACACAAAATTCAATTTTTAACCGAACTGCGAGGTTATTTGGTGTATACTGATGTTAAGTCGCCTCTACACAAAATCAATGACAACGGATCAGTATCATTTAAGCTGAACACCTTCAGGTTACTAGTTACCACGGCAGGTCTATAAGCATACGTGTACTGGTAACCACGTACACTGTTTACATTCATCTCTATGAAACACACACCGTGGGTGAGACCTCTGACACAGTACAATGCGGGATCAGCTCGGTCATTCAAGATTACCGGCGCTGTTTTTACTGTCATTACATGTAATGCTGGACACACACGTACCGGTCAGCTCCACCATTTTACACAGAAAAAAATAGTATACAGGTATCTAAAAATACAGACTTTAGAGGACTTAAGCGGCTCTCAAATGACAAGTAAAATCACGCAGAAACCGATGGGAGATACATGGCATACACAAAATGCAAACTTTACTTCTAGAGCACATTTAGCAATCTAAGCTTTCCAAAGTGCTGTACAAAACTATCACAGACAAAACAACAATACGACAATCACATAAATAGTGTCAATTCAATGCAACCAACGAGGACTAAACTATCAAGTCAGAACTCCTGGAGGGGCGAATATCCACCCAGCCGGAAGCACCAGGACACGGGCGGTGCTGTCGGCGCACCTGGCTCGCCCCACAGCGGCTTTATTCCGCATAAACTCACTCAGGTAAGTCCCGAAGCATAAAGCCCGGAAAAATAAGAGCCTTGGCTAGCTCACCTGCGGCTGTCTGCCCTGGCCTCACACACTCACCTCAGCACCGATCCAGCGCAGGATGACCAGTGTTAAAATAAGCGGGAAGTTGGGTTAACTTCCAAAGTTATCCTGAAAAAGTACGTCCACAAACCAAGCTGCGCTCAGCGACTCGCTACCGACATAGTTCTACTCGTACATCCACAACTCTAAAAGTCCTCTGGGGCGCCGCGTAAGCGATACTTTGTCGAAACTTTAAACCCAGTTCCACTTCGGCCATGAGAAAGTATCCGGTGAACGGACAAACTGAATACGAAATACGCGGAACCAAGCCTAAAAGGGCCCCAGGTGAGAAAGAACGAACACGGACTAAATTAACGTCGAGCGGCTGCCCCCTTCCTGCGGCATCTCTTCTCCCAAACTCATCCACCCCGACCGCCGTTTCGAGCCTAGGAACGCGCACGCAGTGGCGGACGCGCGCACGCACGCAGTCGAGCTCTTTCATAAACAGCAACAGCGGCCACCTGCATGCAGCAGCCTTCGTTCACGCATTAGCACGGAGTGCGCCGACACGGCGCAGTCATTCATATATCGCAGCCGAGACTGTTTGCGACGTTTTGTAGGTTAATAGCATAATATGCAGGACAGTTACTCGGATATCATACACTCTTAGCTATTAATCTTTGAACTTTTTTCCCTTTTAAGCCGTAGCTTACTTTTTAGACCATAAATGTTTGCCGATAAGAATAATCTTCTAACCCCGCTACAGGTCCCAGTTCATGGAGGGTATACTTTAAGTGCAGCTGTAATGCATTACCTAGAATTGCAGTAACATGTAAAATCTGGTTTAATATTATCTTTTTCGTTTTAAATGGGAAGCAGTTTCACCAATATCATATTGGATTCACCTTAAAGTTCTGTCAGTTTTGTGAAACGCATGGTGCCTAAACACAATAACACTGCAGATAACCCACTTCAGTCTTGAAATAAAGAAGAGCAGTTTTGATGGGGGTGTCACTGGTCTTTTTTAGCCAAAGCAAGATGTAAGCAGCACTTCTGACAACCCACTATTTGGCCTATTTGAGTGACCTGCATTTATTGCACTGCATGCTAAAATCTTAGTATCAGCTGTTTAACATTTAAGGTCCATTCCCATTGGATAAACCATGATTGAGGATTTTTACATTTTTGCCACTCAACTTGGGCTACAGCTGAAAACACTGAAACTCTTACTGCTTACAGTGGAAGAGCCTCTGATGGTGATTTTAAGACTCTTAAGAAAGATAGAAATCCATTAATCCAGAATATTCCACAGGAACACATTCACCCCCCATTCTCACAGCATAGAATCCCCCCCAAGCCCGTAGTAGTTCAACTCCAAGACAGTTAAACATCAGGATACAGAAGACCTTTGTACCAAGTAGGAAGGTTTACGGTTAAAGTTTGTATTTAACTGTGTCCTCTGTGATGTCACTATACAATTTGTGCACCTACCTTAGCGGCTTCCCATGCCAGTAAACTCATTTTCTGAAATTAAATGCGGAATTTCTCTGCAATTTTCCAAATTGTGATGGGATCTGTGAAAATGAAAGGGCATTTCCAGCTGCTTTTTGGTTGAGGCATCTGAATGCTACTACTACATAACGGCGTGGCAACAGGTCAAAAGCTAGAGCTCAGATGATGGAGATGATCATCACCCACCATTAGCATAAGTCTGGAAAATAGCTTCCTAATAATGAGTCATAGGGGAAAGTTTTCAAAAGCAGTCATGTCACATAAGCCAGACGTCATATGAAAGCATGGCTTTAGATCAATATGATCAGGCTCAGTCTTTCCATAAACTCAGGAGGTTTGCTGTGAGTTAAAACATGAAACAGACGGGATAGATATACATACAATACTTCAAATGGTTTCAAATACCAGGAGAAAACACCACTTTCTATACAATCCCAGAGGAGAAATGGGGAAAGAAACAGGCAAAATATAAGCCCGACATTTATATTCATTGAAAACAACTTTGGAAAGCAATTTTAACAGATTTATTGCCAATATTACATTTTAATGACAGGATTTAGTGAGGAATGTCTCACCTCTGACAACCTAGAAGATCCATGGGCCATTCTGAGCCAGAGAATCGTGCTTCGTGGCCACTAAAATGCCCTCAGTTCAGCACATATCAAGACAGAACAAATGCTGCTTTGAATCCCCCCCCCCACCCAGATCATTTAAACACATTAAGAACTGTAAAATGATTTTATTGCCATAAACCATATAGGAAACAAAAACTGATTTATTTCTTCAGTACAGTAAGAAAAAGGTGTTTTACACAGTTACACCCAGTAAAATGGACAAAAGTCAAAAAAGACTGGTTTGTTGATATAAGTGAAGATTTTTCTTCCTATGATTTTCTGCAAGTCTAAAGTTCACATGAAGCTGATCAGTTTGAGTGCGTCTCTGCCCTGGTGTATGGAAGTTCAAATAAAATGCATGTCAGCCGGGTTCAGACTAAGCAGGTACCTGGGCACCAGTACTGCATGTGCCAAGCTCTGTGAAGATGCTCACCTCCAACAGCCTCTTAGTCATAAATATCCAAATTCTACGCATGGATTTTTCAGGTGAAAAGGAAAACAGGTGCTGCTCTTGGCATAGTGGCAATTCCATATTAAAGACATTGGAATTTCAACCATCTAAAATCTCACACACACATATCCCTCCTGAAATAGCAAGGAGGAGAGCAAAGAGTAGGGTTAATAAGGGGACCATCATGGTACAACACAGCGTTTCCCAATCCAGTCCATGGGGACCCGCAGACAGTCCACGTTTTTGTTCCCTCCTATCTTCTAGTAGGGAGCAAAAACATGGACTTTCTGTTGGTCCCTGAGGGCCGAGCTGAGAAACACTGCTATAAACACAACAGGAGAGGAAACAGTTTTACACAAAAAAAAAGGCAACATAGTCAATCTGAAGCCAATGTCCAACCAGCTTGTTTTCACCATAGACCCTGCCCTGCCCCTACTCCCTACCAGTTGGACGTGGGCGCTTGTTGAGTGGCTGAACAGGGAGGGGGAAATTATCCCCAGCCCCCAGCCCACGCTGCCTTTCTTTGGGACGGGTCTCTGAATGTTTTTTGGTGAACAAAAGCAGCAGATCCAGCGTGGCCTTCCTGAATAAGCAGCCTCACTGACTTATTAGTTCTTAAAAACAAACAAACAAGAACAAAATTAAGAGCAATGTTCAGCAGCGGAAAGGTGAAAATGCAGGATGATTTAAAAGCTAACAAGGCAAACAGGTCATTACTGAACATGACTGCGCTAGCAGAGGAATTCAAAGGTCTGTTAACACACCAGCTAGCAGGAAGTTGCTATCAGGGATATTTTTTGTTAAAAGAAAAACAACAACAAAAACAATCCAATGTGTGGAATGCATATCTTTAAATAAGATTGTATCATTCATGAATATTATTGACTCCTTTAGAAGTCTGCTCACATCAGAACTGACCTTTGAAAAGTCCAATATTTCAGCACATGGAAAAAAAAAAAACTCAAACTGAAAAAGCAATGAGTTGAAACCCCCAAACTGCGAAGCCACCGGTCAGATGCCTGACTGATCCTAGACAATCCTAGTGACGACTATCCCTTCGCAGATCAAGACTTTAGCCAAGAGCAGCTTGATTTGTGTAACTTTCTGAAGATTAATTATCCAGCCCTGATATAACAGGACAAAGCGGGCGCTAATTACAGGGAAACAGGACAGGGTATACAGGAGAGGGGATTAAACACAAAAGTTAAAACCTGTTAACTGCTGACATGCATTGCTGGGCTGCTTGCGTGTTCTATTTTTTGAATGCATCAGTTTGACCTTGAAGGGCTTTAGCTCATCTAACAGGTAGGAATAACAGGTGGTAGCGCCTCCTGCTGGCATGACCAGCCCATCCCACGGCCTCCCCCCCCCCCCCCCCCCCCCCCCCCCGGATTCCCACACTCTTAGTCTTTCTCTTTGGGAATTACCTCCTCCCGGGGTTTTGCACCGCCGAAAATGGCAGAATTGGGGTTGGCGACTTGGTTGAGGGGCCCAGCCACAGTGCGTGGTTTCAGCTGTAGCTTTGGCCTCTGTGCCCGTTCCTCTGTGGAAGCAAAGAGGGAGCTGAATGAGTGCAGAGCACAAAGACGCTGGCAGCATAAGGTTAGTTATGGCGACTGAACGTCATGCCAGCAACTAGGGCTGTACTCAGGCAGCACACAGACACGTACATCAGGTCAGTTAAGAGATGGGCTACAACATCATGGGAGGTCTAGAGGGGACTTTTGTCCAAAGTGACATACAAGCAAGATACCGAGTCAGAGTTAGGCCTGAGTCACTGGAAAATGACCCAAAAAAAAGCTCCAGACCTTATCGTTTTTGAGTTTAACCTACTGAGGTTGACACTGATCCCTTTTGCAATCGGGTGTAAACAAACAGCAGCAAAAAACAAGCAAAGTTATCGACCATCAGAAGGCTCCCTGAAGTCCAAGGAGCCGCCGCGGAGAGGTCCATCTCTGTTGCGGCCCATCCCTCCGGAGCCCCCCCCTCTTCTGTCTCCGGGGCGACCACCCCCTCGACTCTGCCCACCCATGAAGTCATCATCTCTGAAGCCTGGGTGAGAGAGCATGAGAGGAAGTGAGGCGACGGCCCTGCCAAACAACCGGTTGCTGAAGTCGTGTAGGATGAGAAATTGTGGGGACTCAGTACTCTGCAGCTATGGGTCTCTCTGAAGGAGCGTGGAATCGACATGCTCACATTTACAATAAATACGGAGACTGCAGCAGCAGATGAGTGAAGATTGGAGACAGTAGTTTATTAGGAATTGATGCTCACCCACTACCAAATGACATGTGTACACGCGCACGTACAAGCTTGCAGCCAGCTAGGCAAATGAAAGACAAGGCACGGCATACCTCCTCCAGAATAGTCGTAGTCATCTCTGGAATCCCGTCCCCCTCCTCTGGAGCCCCGTGAAGCACCACGGCCTGAAACGCACAGTAGCAACTAAAGACAAGGGACAGCTGCTGACTGCCACCTGCTGGTTTATGTGTATAAATGCAACTTTATACAGATTACTAACTTTTGGGTGTCATAAAATGCCTCATTAATATTTTGGCCATTCTACTAATCTGCTTAAATTGTAGGCATAAATAAACGTCCACAAAGTACTGAAAAGCTGGCATCCAGCCAAATGTTTCACCAGCCATCTGAAGCCCTGGTGATTATTGTGCACGTGCAATATAATATTGACGCGATATCGCCCAGCCCTGATCTCTTGGTTTAATACGCCTTCCTCACTTCACATTGAAGCTCGAACAGTCTCATACAAAGACACCCAAATGTTCCTTTAAAAACACCACAGAATACCATTATGTCCATGTAAACCAGACAATAACAGCATAACTCAGAGCTAGCACACCACCGACTACCTTGGCAGGACCTTGCCACACAGTGCACAGGACATACCTCTTTCATCCTGTCTTCTAAACCCAAACCCTCCACCCTTCTCCTGCCGACGACCCTCTGCAATGTCCACCCTCAACGACCGATCTCCAAGGAGCTGTGAAAGAAGAGAAACTTAAGGTTATGGATTTGGTTTGGGAAGGGCTTTGGGAGTCAAAGCAGGTTCTTTAACAGAGAAGCACAGAGGAGCAACATGAGGGAAAGACTTACAGCGCCGTCAAACGTTAAGGCTTCTTTTAGCGATTCCAAGTCGTCAAATTCAACGTAACAAAAACCTGGAGAAAACAAAATGACCCACATTTAAAAAATGGCAACTTCTCCGGGAAGGAGGGCAGGGTCCCCACAACTGAAGTGAAACGGATGACCTAATGGATGATGCTGACACAGCAAAAATTGAAAGACATTAAAGCCTGAATATTCTGAGGACCTTGCTGGACATTTAGCTTCCGGTGCAGGAATCTGCAGAATTTTACCAGCTAAACAGACACAGATTCCTAGAGCAACGGCCCTTACCTTTGAACTTGTCAGTTTCTTTGTCTCTGACCAGCCGCACGCTCCTGACATTCAGCTCTTTGAAGATGGCGTCTATGTCGCCTTGCACCGTGTTGAAAGGCAGGTTGCCCACGTAGGCCGTGAACGGCGGTTCAGTCGGCAGCTCCTTCTGCTTACGGGGTCCTCCAGGCCCCCCTCCACCACGTGGCCTGTAGTGCAGGGATATGTGGCGTGAGCCCAAAGCAGACAAGGCCCTGTGCTCACTTAACATTCTGCGTCACGTTCTGTATTACAAAGGGGGATTTCCTGCTTCCTGCTGCCCAGGCTACCTTAAATCTCAAGTTATCCGGCTAAGCATTCATTATTGCATTGTGGTACAGACCCGAGACCAGAGAAGTGGCCAGGGGCATAAAAGTGGCCATCAAATCTAAGGTAAGAGCCTTCAGTTTGCATAGTGAAAGTGCGATTTTGGGTTATTCTCCAGTTTGCTAGACTGACACTGGTCATAACCACAGGTCACACAATGCGCAGAATATGTCACAACACTCCCAGCGCTGAGAAAATTAAGGGCGCTTTTCCACTGCACCAGGTACCGTATTTTTCCTATGGTACTTTAACCTCGTGCTGCGATGTCATTTGGCGCTGGTACCAGTTTTTTACACCAGTGGAAAACCAGCATATTTAAGTACCATACTTTCTAAGTACTAAGTACCAAAAGCACAGTACCTGGTGCAGTGGAAAAACAAAGGCACGGTGTATTAGCTCCGATGTTTACTTGCTCATACAGAATGCAAAGATGAACCCACTAGGAACAGACACATGTACAGAATAAATCGGACAAATTATATAATTTATCCTTACATAACGTTACTGCATAAATTTCTCTAAAACACAATGATGCACTTTTAGACACTAGTGGGGAAAAATATACGTAGAAATAATATAAGGGGACTTTACGCATACATAGAATCAGTTTAAATTCACCGTCAGATAAGATAAAATAAGATAAAACTTTTATTGATCCCACAGTTGGGAAATTTGCATCGTTCCAGCAGGAACACATGGGTTTTTATCAAGAACATACTTATTTGAAACCATTTTTGTTATTTGTAATTCGGTTACACTAAAAGTCCTGAAAAAATGCAGATTACAGATCAGACATGCACAGCGCTCAGAGATCTTTAGCCATGTGAGCAGGTGCCTTAAGTGTCATCAGCTCACCTCCCACGCCTGCTCACGGCGAGTGGCAGACTGCGGGCATACCTCTGTCTGTAGCCCGTTAAAGAATAAAAACAGTCGCGCGATGCTACCTAGACGTCCAAAGGTAGAATCCTATTCACAGCTACAGCCCAAGGGCTCGCAGACCACCCTGTCCCAAATCCCTAAACGGAGCGGGGGCGACCATCTGAATCCCCCTCCCCCTCCATGTGCTACGCGATCCCCTGGCGCCAAGTGCCCTGCTGGCATCCCTCGATTACAGACAGAACACCCTTCACCTGAACTGATAACCTAAACGTATCGAATAAAGATTCATGTTAATATGAAGGAAGCCTCCATTCATCGACGCGGATTCCCCCAGCCGGCTCCCATCCCTCCGCTGATGTGACGGGGCCTGGCCACTCCACACCGCCGGCACATCAGTTTCCACGGCCCGCTGCCGCGCTAGGCCACGGCAAACCTCTCCACAAAATATCCCAGCCGTCTCGGACCGCTTGGACACTCTCTTACCCTCTGCCTCCGCCGAAACTCCCGTAAGCACGGTCTCGGTCGTCATAGTTATCGTAGTCCGCCATCACAGCGCCCGCGGTCCAAAGAGAAAGAAGGCGAGCCGTCGAGGGCCACGAAGGACCTCCGATATAGAGCCTGAGGTCTGCCCTCGGTGCGCCTGATTGAAAATATGGCAGCGGCGCCGGGCTGCAACAAGTTAGTCAGTGAAGTAGAGAGCAGACTTAATTAATGCAGCCAAAAATCCCGAAAACGGGCTGCCTCGGATGCTTGGGTGATGTTATTAAAAATAACACCACCCTTCGCTTTAGCTTTTATTGTTTAGAATAAATCCCAGCCGGACGGCACATGCTCAGCCCGTTTTGGCATCAGGTTATGCAGTGTCTTCACACGCCCATCATCGCGGATAAAGCAGATTTCCGTGCCGCCCAATGAACGCCGCGGATCGTGTCAGCACTCCTTGTGTTGACAGTCACACTGATACAATCAATAAATTACGCCTATACACTTTCGCCAATTTCTAATGTTTTTATGTTATTAATAAACTCACTGACGTGAGATTGTTGTTTATTTTGCTAGGACATTATAGTGCAACTAATTAAACATGTTTATTTTATTTTAAATGCACAAATGAACAATAACAAACTTCCTGTCCTCCGCTACATGAGATGACCCAGTACATGGGTAGGCGACTGGATGATAGATGGACAGATGAATATATAGAATTTCCATGCTCTACAAACATAGAGGATATAGCTGCAAACAATATTATAAAACGTCAATAGAATAGCTTTCCACCATTTAAGTATAGAACAGTTTCGGCCTGATAACGGGCGCACAATATATGACACATCCTCGTCGCTAAAATCTTCTCAGCATCAGACGTGTGCGACAGATGTGTTGCACACGTTTGACTTACCGTCTTACTTCCCTGACAGGCGTTTGTAAGTGTACAGGAGGGGGTAGGGCCTACGGCATAGTTTGCTTTTTCTACGAAAATATATATTTTTTTATATTCACTGAAATGTCCAAATAGGCGCTACATAATAAAAACGTGTGATTAAATGTATATACAATGCCATAATATGGTAATAGAACAACTCAGTTTCTGGAAAATCTAATCATGTTCTCTTCAACAGTTAAGCTAAAATATGTCATATTTAACATTTTCTTCTGTACCTACCGTGTCAGACAAAAATTCTGGTAGCGAATATGCGCTATAATAGCTTATGATCATTTTAAACAGACTAAAGTTTTACGTTCACGATGCTCTAGATGGCAGAAGAGCGCCACGACTCATCATGTGGTTGCAGCAACACAAGCTTGTACCCCACTCCTTACTCCCAAAATAACCGTGCCTAACTCCCCGTGGACTGCATGGAAACCAAACCAATAAATTTACTTACGGAGAACTAACGGAAGAATGCAGCTCCGACTCCGACGTCTTTTATCTTTCGCTATAATATGTAATACGTTTTTACAGAGAGTTTACAGAGCCCTATATTTATTAAATAATCTGCGTTATATTTTAGCATTCTTGAAAAATTCTTCGAGGGATCAATCGCTATTAATCTACATTAGGTGATAATTTAAACTTTAATTAAAGCCTTACATACTAGTATGTGGTTTATTAATTCAATTTTTTTTAGATGAGTTGAGAGAGCAAAACCGTTACAGACAGTTGTGAGAGATCCCTGATTACCATGCCAACCAAAGGTCTGGTGGCGAGCTTCAGATGACATGTCTTTTTATGGTTCACCTAAAGACAGAGTGATGGCTCTGAGGCTAGAGATCTGTGTCATTAACTGCAAGGTTGCTGGTTCAAATCCTGTGAATGCACAGAGTGATTTTACTCTGTTAGGCCCTTGAGCAAGGCCCTTAACCAGCAATTGCTTCCTCATGGGTATGATGTTAATCTACTTCTAACCCTCCCTCTTACTGGGAAAAACTTGGGGGTTGGTGGCAGGATTGGCACTCCAGTCACTGGAAAAAAACCTCACACTGGTCCATTTTGACTAGTGTGGTGCTGAGATATCACCTGCCACATGGCTGCACTCAGGTTCTCATCCCTGAGGTAGTTTGTTGTGTGGTGGGTGTGGCAAAGCACTGTAATCACGTTTATTTTATTTTAAATGCACAAATGAACAATAACAAACAATAACAATAACAATAACAAACTTCCTGTCCTCCGCTACATGAGATGACCCAGTACATGGGTATCTCCATCCTTACCTAAAGACCTTGAATCTCCAGGGGATGCCATTCCACATCAGCACGTTTGGGATGTCCTAATTTATAAGAAATGCCAGTTTCCAAAGACATGACCATAGTAGAGACATATTCTGTTCTTGCATTGAGAGAATAACACGGTAAGTTGGAAAGGCAGATTCAAACACGATAGTGCTTATGCTGACCTCAGCCTAAACCAGGGGTTTTTCCATAGTGTTCAGCCTTCATATCTTGTTATTTTGGCTTAGCCAGGTGGAAGACTTCAGTGAGACTCTCTGATTGACAGTGAAGCTTCTTCGTACTGGTAAGCACAGACTTGCAGAACTTGAGGGGAAAATATCACAGTATAGCCCCCTTTGGCTGCAGTTTTATTTTAAAAAAGACCTTCCATAGCTGAAAAATATGGCAGCTAGGAGAAGGTAACCTAATGCATCCATGTGACTTGGGCGATTCCAAAGGCTGTGTGTGACTAGCTGGATTTGGCCACTTTTGGTAATAAACCATTTCATTCCATAAACCTTTCAAAGGAGTAATCTGACTGCAACCATAAACACAATGATAGCATTCTGCATAGGAGATACTTGGCTTGACAGAAAAACATTTCAGCCTAATCCTCCTAGATCAGGGGTGCCCAACTCCAGTCCTGGGGGGGCGCAGCCCTGTGTAGCTTAGTTCTTTTCCTGTTCCACCATAAATGATTCAGCTCAAGAGCTGTGTGGTAATTAGCACAAGGAGTTGAATCAGGTGTGTTAAATGAGGGGAAACTCAAAAATGTGCGGGGCTCTGGCCCCCCAGGACTGGATTTGGGCACCCCTGTCCTATATGGTCATGAAGACGCATTTAAACAAGCAGGACAATAAGTATACACACCTATGCAAACAACAAAATACGCAAAAAATAACGCTAAATACACAAAAACAAATGAAAAATGAATTATAAGAAGAGTCTATTTCAGGCATGATGCAATAAAGAGAGATTTATCAGATGTGGGCAATTTTGTAAGAAAGATAGAAAGCAAGCAGAACAGAACACGAGGCTTTAAGTGTAAAAATAGTTACCCAAAACTCTCTGTACACTGAAATTGTTCTGAAAAAATATTTCATTTCATATTCTGTGCAGCAGCTGGGAGAGTGTCGCTGGTGTAGCTCACAGCCAAAGCTGTAACTAATGAGATTGTCTGTGGGGAAAAAAAAACAGTTTAATTTGGCTTTTTACATTTGGCAGTCGCAGTCAGAACAACAAGAGAATGTTCAGTAGAAAACAAGAGGATTTCCCCAGGATTATTCCTTTATAGGGCATTGGAAGTTAATGGCTCCACACTGCTAGAAGGTCAATAAGCAGGTATTATAAGTAATAGGATACTGTTAGATAGCATTTAAATTTGTACAGTGCACAGTGCTCTGCAGACAACAAATGGCAGGATGGTCATGTGATTCATCCTCTGCCTCCGAATTTCACTTCTGACTTGACAGCTGGCGTCCCTGTGCGCTGAGTGGTACCCACTATCAACGTGGCATTCTCTGTGAGGGAACAGCCATTTTGTGATACAAGGTGACTGTTACAAGCATTGCCACTGAATGACAACCACGGTGTTTCGCAACACAGACCATCCTCCTCATCCGTAGCCATTTTGTAGCATATAAAAGACCTTGTGTCAGAGTTTTGAGAGTTTTATTTCATTATTACCATAACCCCACTTTCAAGGCAACAGGTAGTTAATATAGCTCTCTTATTTTCAACCTCAGTCCAAACTGAAAATGAGATGTATGAACGTAGCAGGTTTCCCGAATCTACATCTATCCCATCTCCCTGTACTGCCAGTGTCAGTCCTCACGGACAGCCGCAAGACAGGACGCACGGTCAGAGCAATAACGAGCCCCATCAATTATCAAAATGCTTTGCTACACTGCAAAGCCACATACCCAAGGACCCTTCTGGGAGAGGGACTGGTCACCCTTAACAGCTACCCAATAACTGCTTCTTGGCATAGAAGAGCTTGCGGATTGAATAGCAATAATAAAAGGTGGACTAATCAGTATGATTGAAACATTTCAGGTCATCAAGAGCAATGGAAAGGACATTTTTAATCCTATTACAGAATTATGTCAAAATACATTTATAAATGAGGATGCATAGCAGATATGGGTCTAGAGATGTTAAATGACCCAGTCAAGGTGAGATATTTAATATATTATGCAAAAAGTATGGGACTGAGATACAATGAGCGTGAACAACACACGCACAATGAAAACATTCCTTTGGTGTGAGCAATGTGTCAAACCCAGATTTGTGTGTCGTGGGCACCATTCTGACAGCAGCATCAACTTTAATAATAGCTTGATGTCAAAACACAAAGTAAATAAGAATGAAATATTTCCTGTTAAATGTCACCTCAATGTAATTAGGCCGAGTCGTGAAAATATTTGATGTCCTACAAAGTCACAAAAAATGCAGCACAATTTCAGTGTTGACATCTCTAACAATAATTGAGTCATATTAACATCAAAGGATGAAAACATCACTACCACAACAATCACCGATGACGAATGACATCACTGGCACAGCAACGTGACGGCTTTCATAGAATTAAAGCTAAAGGCGACAGTTTGGGCTTAAATGGCTCATCCGTTGGTAACCCAGTTTTGCCTGAAGCAGCAGTGCACATTGAGAGGCACAAGGGCGTCATACAGTGAAAGGCATTGCCTTGCACTGGCCATTGCAGATCACGTCACCCTGTTTCAGCAGGAAGTGCTGCAATGTCTAGATGGGCTGTTCTCTGCACTGGTTCCACAGGCTTGTTGGGTTTCTATCCATGGAATGTGAAAAGTCAGTGGTCACCCAAACCCAGACTAAGAAAACACTTTTTCATGGGTGGTGGCACAGAATTTATTTGTCCTTGCTTGATTAACCAGAAAACACAGTATATTGCCTATTCACAGCTGGATGATTGCATTGGTGTAATTTGGGTTAAGGACCTTGCTAAAGTGTCCTGTAGTAAAGTGTCTTACCTTAAACATTACGCAAACCTACTGGCCAATTACAGAAATGAAGCCTGTGGAAAAGTCACTGTATACACCGACAAAACAAATGGCTTCTGTGACAACTCGATTTGGGCGTCTAATTGTGCAAATTGGGGAAACA